CATGAGAAGAGGTTGCATTAGGCACACTATGAGTCTGCCTGTGTCACTGGCAAAATTATTTCACTTCTGGAACCAATTCATTCATTTAACAAAACTGGGGGTACACCCAGAGCCAGGCCCTGTTCTGGCACTGGAGATCTAGGAATGAGCCAGCAAACAAAAATCCCTGCTCTCCTGGAATTTAGTTTTAGTTGAGAGAGAAGTGAGAAGCAACTTAAGGAAAATAAAGAATTTATCTGCTGTAATAAGTGCTATAAAAATATAAGGCTAAGAAGTGATTTGAAATATTACAGAGTAAGTGTGTAAATTATAGGCTAGGATGCAAGGAAGGGACATTGCCTGAACAAGTTCAGCCAAGGAGTTTTCTGGAAGAAGTGTCTTCAGGAAGAGAGAATAGCAGGTGCAAAGGTCCTGAGGCAGGAGTGTGTCTGAAGGGTCAGAGGACCATCAAGGAGACCAGTATGGCTGGAACAGAGAGAGGGGGCAGGGAAGTCATTAGAGACAAGGTTGGAGGGGGTCACCGGGGTCAGATGCAGAAGGACTTCTATAATACAAGTAGGGTTTTGGCTTTTACTTAAGGGTCCTCCAATGGGTCAGCGGTAAAGAATCACCTGCAATGCAAGAGACACAGAATACATGGGTTCAGCCTCTGGGTTGGGAAGATCCCCTGGAGGAGGAAATGGCAACCTACTCCAGTATTCTTGCCTGGAAAATTCCATGGACAGAGGAGCCTGGCAGGCTACAGTCCAGGGGGTCGCAACGAGTTGGACACGACTGGGTAAGTGAGCATGCACAGTCCTCAGAGGGTGTGAGCAGGAGAGTGAGCCCTTGGTAAAATGAGGGAGTTGGGTGGGATGACCTTGGACGCTCTTTCTGGTTAATCAGTGACACGGGGCCCAGGGTCTTCACTTGGGATGGAGATGCCTTTCTTCACAGTGTTCGTGTCTGGGAGTGTGTGTGAGACAGAGAGTGTGTGTGGAGGGGTGGTGGGAGTGGTCCTGGCTGACATCTCTCCTTTCTTTCAGGGCCACTGATAAATCTGCACCAGGCAACCTCTAAAGGCCTATCTGGTCCTGAGATTCAGGAGTTTCTCCAAGTTCCCAGCCTGGGGGATGTCTGCTCTGTTGCTCTGGGCTGTGAGCTTGCAGGTTTCCACTGGCAGCATGTGACCAGGGTGGGGTGGTGGCGGGGGGTTGGGGGGGACATCTGGTGAGCAGCTGGGCCCCTGGGCAGCCTTCTGGGTGGTGGGGAAAAGGGGAAGGAGCCCAGAGGCAGGGCTGCCTGCTGGGGCGGGTGTGGCTCCCCAGGACAGATCTCATACCAGCCAGACAGCTCCCCCCAGGTTCCAGCCTGGGTGGCTCTCTGGGGGTAGATCATTCATCCCCTTGAGGCAGGAAGTGTTGCTAAGGAGGGACAGAGCGGTGGGTGTCATCTGACCAGAGCCCAGGCCAGACCCACACCTCTCTGACCCTGCTGTCCAGAGGAGCCCGTAGGAGCCCTGGTCCCCAGTGAACCTCACAGACTGCTTGCTGCAGCCTCCCTCCAGGCCCGGACAAGGGCCCCAGTGGCCAGAGAACAGGCCTCACTGAGCCAGGGGTGGGGGGACACGGCTTGCCCTCCGGTTCCCCCAGGTGGCTCCTGGCTCCAGATGGGACATGGGCCCTCCCACTAAAAGTGCTGTCTTCTGGCCGCCCTCACCCTGCGGCACCAACCGGCATCCCTCCGGGGCCTCCTTAAGCCGCTGGTGTCTCCGGACAGACAGGTGCGTCTGACCTCACAGCCTGAGCTCAGACCCTGGGGGCCAAGTGAGGGGCCCCAGCCAAGGAAGCCCAGGTTCCACACCTGCTTCCTCCTTGCAGCCCCAGCTTCTCCCCATCTCTGCCCAGCTCCCGGGGAGACACAGAAGGCTGCAGACAGTGTCCTGGGCCCAGCGCCATGGCCAGAAAGCATTCCCTCCCACCCGGGGCAGCTTCCAAGGGGCTGCCCACCATCCTGTCCGGTCTCAGGAGACTCCGGGCTCCAGAACAGGTCCTTGAGGCCGCATACATCAGGGCCAAGGCCACCTGAGCTGGAGGAAGAAGGTGTCACTGGGGAAAGGTTTGGGGGGACCCCTGCGTGGCCCTGAGTGTCTCTCTCAGATGCCCCCAGCCTAGGGACAGGGGAAGATCAGGGACTCTGATTCCATGGGCTGTGGCCCCGGCCAGTGACTTCCTGGCTCCTGGTGACCTTTGCAGGCGCCCCGGGGCTACACGGAGGCATCTCACCCCAGTGTGGGGGCTGTGGTTTGTTTGTGGACACTCACAGCTCCCCCCTTCCTCAGGTGCTCTTGGAGGTCAGAGAATCTGCCCCCCCTCACGTGGAGCCCAGCCCAGCCCGCCCCGGCGGGCCGGCAGGCAGGCACGAGGTGAGGGCTGCATTGCCAACCCCTCCTCCCTGCCTTTGTCTCTGCCTGCCCATGGGCTCGGCTGGGCTGTGGAGAGAGGAAGGGAAGCTCTTTGCATTCGGGCCCTGGGTCACTAGCACCTCACGACTCTTCCTCTGAAGACACAGCCAGCTGCTCCTGCTATGGACAGGTGGTACCTGGGTGAGTGCCCTGAACCCCGCCTGCCCCCACCATCCTGGACTCAAGTGTCCACCCCATCACTTTCAAGAGCACCCGCAGCTCCCCAGGAGGATAGGGAAAGCAGCAATGGGGAGAGGCAGGATTTCTAGACTAGCGCATCTCCTTCTGGGGTCCTGGGTGTGCTGTCCTCTCTGCTCCCAGCATCTCTGAGCCGTCAGGAGCTGGGAAGGCAACTTGTCCCACAGCCCTCATTCTGTTGGTCATCTGTCTGTCCAGCTGTAGGAACTCTGAAGCTGGACTGCTAGCTTCAGAGCTGGGTTCTCCCACTTCCTAGCTGCCTGATCTCTGGGAAGTTATTTGACTTCTCTGTGCCTTCATCTACAAAATGGGGGTGATAATAATGCCTTCCTTGCCTCATCAAGTTGTTGTGATGATTAAATGGGTTGGTTTTTGTAAAGTCTTTAGGACAGTGTCATGCACACACAGTTAAAAATGTAACTATTGTAGATGTAGCTATTGATTTGCTGTTGTGGCTATTGATGTGCTCCCTATTTCTCTTTTATCTCTTACCCCTCTATCTACCTATCCTCTATCAAAACCATTGATCTATTTATCTATCTATGAACTTTCCACCTATTTTTATACTCCAGAAAGAATCCACGGTAGCTTACAAAGATAGACAAAATGTACTAAGGGAGCAAGATAATGTATAATAACGGGGCATCAGTGTCTGTGTGGAGAGCCCTGGGAGTTTGGGGAGCACAGTCATGGGGGTCTGGCTTTCTAGCCCTGGATTTGTCCCTGATTGGGTGTTTCAGGCAAGTCGCCCAATCTCCCTGCTCAATCTTCCTGGGCTGTCCAGTGGGGATCAAGGCACTGCCTGGGAGACCTCCAGGGGTCCTTGTGGAGACAATGACGAGATCAGTTTCTTTACCCATGGAATGGAGCAAACATGGAATTAACAGGACAGTGTGTGCAAGAGCCTGACACATGCTCAGCACCTACCAAATGTGAGCTCTGTTGTGTTTTCATGAATTTCCATCATTTGACCTTGGAAGCCAAAGAGATGAATGGGTGTCTCAGCTTCTGGTCTGCAGGCCATGACAGTCTATCTTTCCATCTCACTCCCATGTTCATTTTGCTGGAAAGTGGGTGACTTTCTTGGTATGACAGTGTATAACAGTAACAATAATGACACTTACTGTGTACCAGGCCCCCCACCATGCCCTTCGCTGCATTATCTCACTTTATCCTCACAACCACCCATTTTACAGATGAGGAAACTGAGGCACACAGAGATTAAATAACTTGACAGGGGCCACATACTTAGCAAGTGGAGGAGCCAGGAAGTGAACTCAAACCTTGATCCCCTGTCACTGCTCCAAGCGGATTAATAGATGGAGTCCTTTTGAAGGACTAACCTGCCCTTGGTGGACAATGGCCTCTGACCTTGGCCTTTTGGCTACAGTTGAGCATGAAAGCCAATCTGATTGATTAGAACTCAGCCAGGAATATGAGCATCCATGGGGGACCTAGCACTGGGGTCCGAAGCATGAACGGGGCCACAGTAGAGGGAGGAGTCCCTGCCCCCCAAAGCGAGGGACTGGCTGTGGGTCTTCACCTTGCCTCTCAGCTGTGTGCCCTTGAGCCAGGGCCCTACCCTCTCTGTGCCTCAGGTGCCTCGTGTATAAAATGGGGAAATAACACAAAGTACCAGGAAATAAGTTAGAAACATGCTTTTCAAATCATAAAAGCAAGGCTTTCTCTCCGTGGTCTGGCTTGGCCCCTTCCCAAAGGAGCCTGTGGCATAACATGGGGACTGGCACGGAAGCTGGGCTTCACGGCTGGAGAAGGACGTGCCAGAGGCTACAGGGACAGAGGGATTAGTGAGGGATGACTGAAGCCCTTCTGACCGAGGTGTGAGCTGTTAGATGTGGCCTGGATGGAGGAAAAAGGTACCAAGGAAAGGGTGTTCCTGGGCATGAAGGCCTGGAAGCATGCACAGTGCAGTGGCTGGGGGGGTGGGGGCTCAGGTGGGCTCTGAGGGGCCAGGCACCCTGGGATCACCTCAAGAAAGCCCTGAATGCCAGGCACCAGCTGAACCGCCTGCACAGTGGTGGGAGACGTGGGCAGCTGCTAGGGTCGAGGGCCTCCGTGGGACCCCCGACCTTGCCCCCTGAAGCCGTAGTACACTCTGAATCCATTTCAAAACCCCCGCTTCCCAGCTGTCACGGCCCCAGCTGTGGCTCCTCCACCTGCGGGGTGGACCCCATGGCCCTTCTCTCTGGAAATTTCCTTTGGGAGGGTTTGGAAAGACAGCCAGCTCCTCCCTGCCCCCACTGCCCCTGCACCTCCTCACGCTCAGCGGGAGACCCACTGTCCACACCCGGGCTTTTCTTGTGACCAGGGTAAATATTACCTGGCACTGTTAATGTTTAATGCCCCCACCCCATCTCCAGCCACCCCACAGCCGGGCAGTCTCCCCGAAGCAGAGGCAGCAGAAAGAGGGCAGCGGGGACGGGCCTGGTCTGTGGGGGAAATGGCAGAGTTGACAGATGACGGTGAGTGTGTGTGCATGTGTGTGCGTGTGTGTGCGTGCGTGGGTGTGCATGCATGTGTGTGAAGCAGGAGGTGCTTGGACCGTCTTTGGATGGTGAGCAAGACCCTCTCTTCCGTCTCCTGGCACCCCTGCCTTCCAGAGCACCCAGCACCCCTCTCTCATACCGTGCCAGCCTCCTATTTAAGAAAATGTGCTTTTAAAAGAGGACCTCACCTTAACGCCAAAGCAATCTAGCTTGAATGCTGGAAGCTTGGATGTCAAGAAGGAGGTGCTGGGGCACAGAGGGTGGTGAGCATGCATCTTCTGGACTAAACTGAGAGCAGGAGGCAGATGGAGGTGAGGCAGGGCAGCAGTGGGCCCCCCCGGTCAGCCTGCTCAGGCTGGCTTTGGGGCGAGAGCCCCCACTTGCAGGACACAATGCCTAGAAGGCATCCTGCAAATGAGGGCGATTGGGTCTGGAATCTAGTGAGCCCGCTGTGGACTGCAGTGGTCTCTGAGCCAGATTTAGAAACGATGAGGTCTTTGGGTGGGGTGGGCTCTCCCAATGTCTCAAGATGAGGTGGTCAGGGAGGAGACAGTTTCCTGGAGTGGCGAGGGGAGTGGTGAGTCCCGTCATGGCTCTGACACTGACACCCGTGTGACCTTGAGCAAAACTTGAACTGAAACTGGGGAGACAACCTCAGAGGCCTTCTGCGTGGGGACAGGTGCCCGGGGCCCCCTCAGACCCTTCAGTGGACTCCTCCTCGCCCGAACTCCCCTGGCCACCCACCCAGGCTGGACTCCACCGCCCAGGGCCCAGTCCAGCACAGCCTGGGAGGTGAGAACTTGTGTGTTCCTTTGACCTTGGGCACCGCTTCCCTAGCACCAAGAAGGGGCTCAGCAGGGCAGAGAAGAGGGGCCGCCACGAGACATGACAGAAGAGCTCTGGCCGGGCGCCCTCCAGCTGCCCAACAGCAAGTGCGCTCAGGTTATAGGGTGGAAGGGCAGAGCCATGACCTCTGCGGGGGCTGGAGCCTGGATGGGACCTCCTGGTCTTGAAATGTCTCCTTCCTCCTGACCATGTGAGAGGCAGCGCAGCAAAGGGGTGAAGCACCTCGATTTTTAACCACCAATGGCCTGGGTTCATTCCCAACTCTGCCCTTTTCTAGCTGTTTGACTCTGAGTGAGTTGCTTAACCCCGCTGTGCCTCCATCGTCTCATGGATGATACTGGAATAATATCAATGCCTCACAGGATGGTTACCATGGTTAAATGAGCTACTGCTTCGTTAGCCTCAGTCTGCCACATGCCAATACACTGTTTCTGAAATAAATTTGCTTTCCCCTAAGGATAGCAATGTAGGAGAGAAGGATCTAGAAACAGGGGTCCAAGACTCATTTCTGCCTCCAACTTTTACTGGAACTTTAGAGAAGTCTTCAGGCTGGGCCTTGGTTGCCTCCCGTTTGGTGAATATTAAGCTTCTATTTATTTATTCATTGGTTCACTTCACAAATATTCACCAAGTATTGGTTGCCCAAAAAGTTCGTTTGGATTTTTCTGTAAGATGTTATGGAAAAACCCAATACCTTGTGGTTGATTAGTCAAATGGAGGGAGGTTGCTGCTGAGGCTTATGGAAGATGCTTCTGTGGCCTCCCAGAAGTGCCAGCCCCACCCCACCGCCAGGCACGGTGGGTCTCTGCTGACCGAGGGGAGCCACTGAGGGCAGATACTGTCTCCACCGGCAGTGGCGTGGTCAGGCCCTACTCCTGGAGTGTCCCTCCAGCAGCTTCCCCTGGCCCCCCTGGACCTCTGGGGGTGCTGGGACTGGAAGCGCGGGAGTCCCCCTGTTTCTGCAGCTCATCCCCACCCCCTCTGGCTCTCTCCTCAGGTGGCAGCCCCAAGGAGAACGTGGACCCGTTCTACTACGGTGAGTCTGGGGGGCCCCCCTCCCACCCTTCCTGAGTGACCCCCCCCCACCAGGCACCCACAGTTCCTGGCCTCCCCCAGCCCTGCGTCATGTGCCCCCATCTTCCCGAGTTATTACGGTGGGGCTGGGGGGAGGGTCTGGGGTCACCCACCCTACCTCCCCGTCCTCTCCTTCCCCAGACTACGAGACCGTCCGCAATGGGGGCCTGATCTTCGCTGCCCTGGCCTTCATCGTGGGGCTCGTCATCATCCTCAGTAAGTGGGGACTTCCTGTAGAAGGGGGTGCTGAGCGGGGCCCAGCTCCTCAAAGCCACTGAGCACACTGGCTTCCCAGGTGGGGAGGGGAGAGCCCTCTCACCCGCCTCCCGGGTGCCCTCGCCTCTCCCACGGAGGCTGTGAGAACGGACGGATGGACACCCTGATGCAGACCGGCTCGTGGTCCGCAGACCCCCCAGGAGGTGCCCGTTTCCTCGAGTGCGCCCTCTAGTGGACCCGAGGGGTGCCGCCGAGATGGCGAACCGGCTCCTGCTGGCCGGGGAGGCTCCAGTGCCCTTGGGGCAGGGGAAGGGAGGGAGCCAGCCTCCACTGGACACTCCCTCCCCCCAAACTGAGCGCTTCCTTGGCCCATTTAATCCTCTGAACAAACTGAGGGATGGCCGCCACTGTCGCCGCTTTCCAAATGAAAAACCAGACCCGCAGTGGTAGGTGCAGCAACCTGCCCGAGGTTCCGCAGCCAGATCGGAAGCAGAGTGGGTTCCATAGCACCTCACCCCAACCCCGGCCTGCTGCGGGAAGGCAAGCACCCCTGGCAGTCCAAGGCCTTAGGCTCCCTGCTAGTTTACCGTGGATCCCTTACTCCCTGGGCCTTCGTTTGCTCATCTGTTAAATGGGGATGATCCCACTTGTCTCACAAGCTTAGGGCTGGCAGTCAAAGACGCGGCAGCTAAGGGAGTCCTTAGAAGGAATCAGTGTAGGTGTGGGGTGTTCTAGTGGAGAGATAGCTCCTTGCCTTACCCCGGCCCCAAAAGGCACACAGCAGGGACTTAATAAATGCTTGCGGACTGGTGCAACCGGGAGAAAAATACTCAGAAACACGCCGCCGGTGAGAAGAAGATGGAGAACGTATCACTGCCACTTCCAAGTCCTGGGATTCTAATGGGCGTGTTAGATGGTGCCCCGCTCACCCCGCCCCGATGGCTCCAGTCTGCAGACATGGCCAGCCTCCCCATTCCCCTGGAGGTTCCCTGAGGGCCCCGCTGTATTGTGGCTGAGCTCGCAGTGACGGAGATGGATGGGCACGAGCAAGACTCTTGGCCCTGGACTTCCTGCCGTTCTTCTGGAGCAGCTTCTGCATGCCCACAACCTTTCCTATTGTGCTCACCGTCTACCACGGACTTCCCTGTAGCTCAAACGGCAAAGGGTCTGCCCGCAATTCAGGAGACCAGGGTTCGATCCCTGGGTTGGGAAGCTCCTCTGGAAAAATGGCAACCCACTCCAGTATTCTTGCCTGGAGAATTCCATGGACAGAGGAGCCTGGTGGGCTACAGCCTGTGGGGTCGCAAAGAGTCAGACACGCCTGAGCGACCAACACAGACACACATACACACAGTCCACCACGGAGCCGCCGCCACAATAATGTTTGCTGACTGCCCAGCTGGCTGACTTGTCCTTCTGGACGCTTATGGTCCAGCCCATATATAAAGAGAGACAGACAGTTTTGGTCTCTGAGGTGGACACAGGGCAGCGCCTCAGAATGGAGGGAGGAGGGGCTACGGAGCTGAGGCCTCCAGGATAGAGAGGGTCTCCTTGGCAAACTCACCTCGTTTCTCTCTTTAAGGCAAAAGATTCCGCTGTGGGGCCAAGAAGAAGCACCGGTGAGTGCCGGCCTGGGTGACTGATGGAGGTGGGCAGGGAGGGGTGGGAGGGGCTGGCGGAGGGTTTGGTCTCTCAGGCTTGTGAGGAGGGTCCCCCATCAGGAGCCCTGAATCCCTGCCCCCTCCACCCCACTACCTTTTCTTACCTGTCTGCTTTCTTCCATCCCAGGCAAATTCCTGAAGATGGGCTCTAAGGAGAGGTAAGTTTGCGAGGAGCAGGCAATGGCTCTGGATAATAAGGAAAAGTTAAGGACTGGAAAAATTTCAAGGTCTTTCCTCCATCAGTCAGGTGTCTGTCACACTCATGTGGTTCTTTTCCTTGTTGGTTAAAAAAAATTTTTTTTATTAGCATATAATTGCTTTACAATATGTTAGTTTCTGTACACCAGCATGAATCAGCCATAAGTATACATTCATCCCCCCACCTCTTGAGACTCCCTCCCACCCCCACCCCCATCCCGCCCCTCCGGGTGATCCCGGAGCCCCGAATGAGCTCCTGGTGCTCTGCAGCAGCTTCCTGCTATCTTCCTACTTTGCACATAGTACTGTGTATATGTCAACCCTACTCTCTCGGCTCGTCCCGCCCCCTCCGTCCCACTTGTGTCCCCATCTCTGTTCTCTATGTCTGGGTCTCTCTTCCCACCTTTTTAAAGTGATGGCCAAAAAAACCAGAAAAAAATATGCCGTAGTATGTGTGACCAAGGGAGGCTGCCGAGATGCACCAGAGGAAGGTAAGGTGAGAAAGGGATGAAATGGAAGTCCTAGTTTCTGCAGCCCTGCTCACAGCCCCCATCCTGCCTTTCTGTTTGCAGAGCCAGCCGTGCCCACCCTTGCACCGGGGCTGCTTGGAAGTCTTTCCTGAGCTGTAGACCTCTGTCCCAGCACTACCAAGCCCTGGGGCTGAAGGAAGCTTCAGGCTCCACATGACCCCTGGGTGGGCATCACCTCCTTTTGCCCCGTGTTAATAATAAAGCCGGCCTTGGAGACGGCTCCTTCCCTGGCCTCCTCCCTCGCTCCTTCTCTCCTGTAACGGCCACCATCCGCTCCTCCAAGCTGGAGTCAGTACAGCCTGGTCTCTGGCTTTTCCATTATTCGCTCACATGCCCACGCCTGTGAGGCCTGTAGGCCTCCACCCTACCGGAATGGACAGGGGGACAACTTCAACCTGAGATGGGGTCACGCTGGCCCCTCCCACCAGTCCCTGACTTCCTGATGCCCGTGGCCCCCAGACAGCACTGCATGCTGCCGCCTCGGGCAGTTTCTGCCTTCTGGAAGGAGCCTGCCTTCCCTTTCCCTCCCCTCCCTCTGTGAGAAGCGGAGAGGCGAGGCGGCTCTGAGGCTGGATGGGATGGTGGGATCATGGCACCACCTACTGTCCATTTCCTCATCTGAGTTTTTGAGCGTCCAAGGGAAGGGGGGGAGATTGGCCCGGGAGACCAAGACAACAGCAAGTCCGCAGAGTTTGAAGTGAACGAGGAGGGCACTGGAGGCAGTGTGGGCCGCACTCGGCTTGAGAATTGAGTTCTTTGTCTTAATCCACTGTCCCCAGGACCACCACCCCTCACAGACTCACAGAAGGCTTGGGGACTGAAGGCCAAAATAGGGAGCAAAATAGACAATCCTTAATTTTCAGAAAGAGAGACTGATGTCCTGAGAAAGGCAGCGACGTGTCCAGGTGTCAGAGCCAGGTGTCTGGCTCCATTTCAGAGTCCTTCTCACTGACCCCGTGTTGGGAGGAGACACTCCAGGGAAACACAGAGTGGAAAACTTGGCTCTTGCAACTCAGGGCCAAGGTCTTTGTGACACCCTGCTCTGAATTTGGGCTCACGGATGACAAATGAAACCTGACAGGCCAAACCCCTAAATAGAATTCAGGATTTCCAAGACACTGGAGCTGTCCACGACAGTAGGAGAAATGAATGGAATGGGGCAGGTCCAGCCATGGGGGGTTTCAGGAGAGGGGGGGAGAAAAGGGAGCGGGGAGCTCCTGAAACTTCTCGGATATAGCAGCAAGGCAAACAGGAAGAAGGGTATTCCAGGCCTGCAGCTTGCCTGAGAAGAGCCGTGGAAAGGTGTCGTGTTTCTAGAAGGTTCCATACACAGGCCCTGAGCCTGCCAACCCAGCTGCCTTGGAGGGGGCTGGTCCTGGGTGAGTCTCTTCAGCCTCTGCCCCTGCTGTAAGCCCTCCGTCCCCGTGAACCGTGAGGCTTCTCTGAATCCCAGGCTGTCACACTGGAGCACCTGGGGTGCTGTGCAGACTACCCAGTGTCCCCTCCAGAACTGTCAAATATTAACCTTGGGGCGGGCCCATGCCAGCTGTTACTTAACCAGCTCCCAGGAGAGCAGCTGCTGCTGAAAACCACAGATCCAGGTAACATTCAGTGCCCTCATGAACACTCTCCCCCTCCCTCTCCATGAAGGTCACAAGGACTGGGAGCTACTGAACGTTCACTTCACTTTGGGATTTTCCACAATTCATACACAAATTAAGTCACAAATAAACACCAAGACTGGGAAGTGATTGAATGAATTACTTTTAATCCCACAACAGTGACAATGACCGCCTTAGTCTGAGGGAATGCAATTCCGTTTGTCACCACCAGAGGGAGGATGTGTCTTACTCCAAATCCTTTTCAAACTGTTTTCAACTCAGTCTAAGGGCTGGGAGAAGAGGGAGATAGAGAACCAGGTGGTTGGATGGCATCACCGACTTAATGGTCGTGAGTTTGAGCAAGCTCTGGGAGATGGTGAAGGACAGGGAAGCCTGCAGGACTGGCGTGCTGCAGTCCATGGGGTCGCAAAGAATCAAACACGACAGAGCGACTGTACTGGGAGTCCTTTCTGGAAGAAGAGGCCCCCGGGTCTACCAGATGCCCCGATTTCCCAGGACCGCCTTGAGCTCTTTCTATTCTGTCTGCACATCCCTCCGGTGTAATTTGCCCTGCTCTGGTGTCTTGAACCCTCACTCTTCCTGTAAGGGAGAGACCCTCTGTGATCTACACGTATTCCTCAACTTGGGGTAATTATGTAGCCTCCAACCACATAGTCTGAGTTAATCAGCGTATGAGCAGGACCTGGAGAGAGGCGGGCAAGAAAGGGGAGTCCCCAGGAGCCCACCCTGAGCATCCCCACTGGTCCTAACCTGTCCTAGGGAGTGGGTTCCCTGGGCTGATAGGGATAGGGTGGGGTTGGGGGTGCTGAGCTGAAGAGGGGTCCAGGGCAGAGGGGACTGTTGAGGCCCCCGCCTTGGGCCCTCCTCTCACTCACCCCTGCTGGAGAGATTAATGGCCTCCCTGTTGATCCTCGGCTCCAGGCAGCTGAGGTCTGAACTGCAATTCTGCAGGGCTCTGCGCGGTGGTGACCTGCTCCTTGCCAGGCGCTCATTCTTCATCGTCTGCCTGACAAACACATGGGGTGGGGGTGGGTGGTGGAGATCAGAGGCCAATGCCACAGCCGCCTGGCCTTGTCCTGCCATCACAGCGAGCCTCTGGCTGGGAAGATGGATCAGGCCTGGGCCTTGGAGCCAGGGCCACAGCAGCCTCGGCCCAGGGCCTTGAGAGGGGAATCACGGAGCCGGGGACTGGGCTGAGATAGCCAGGGAGGTGGCTGAGTGACCCAGCCTTAGGAGAGACCCTCAACTTGGCCTTGGTGTTCCCTGCGCCCACTGGGGACACTCAATGTCCTCTGCAGTTGAGTGGCTGAGAGCATGGGAAGAAAACCTATTTAGAACTTGAGACCTTGGGGTCCATGACCTCAGCTGGGGGGCCCGGGGGTGGGGCGGCGCCTAGGGAGGTCACCACAGGAAGCCAGGTGGGGGCTTTTCCCCAGGGGTGGACGGGCCTCATGCCGGGACAGCACTGGAACCAGCTGTACCCGGGGTGGTGGCCCCCCAGGCTCCGATTCGGTAACTTATTTAGGCGGGAATTTCAGGCTGCCTGCTCTGAACCTACATGACCTCCCCACTCCCCCGGAGGCCTCGGGGCACTCCTGGCTGCTGTTGGCCCCTGGAGTTCTTAAACTTGGTTCCCTTTTCAAGAAATTCGTGCTGTTGCTTCCCCAAAGGGCTTCCTTGGTATCACCAGGAGGAATTTCCCAGGTGAGGTGGCCAAGGAGAGGTTAGACGAGGGGAAGTTTCAGGCTGGGCCAGCAGTTTCAGGCCCCAGAACCTCATTGGCGGCCCAGTGCCGTCCATGCTGGGGACACTGGTCTCACTGCCAGCTTTGGCCTCCGCCTGCTGTGTGACCCTGAAACGCCCTCGTCTGTCTCTGGACTTGGCTTTGGAAAAAGCAAACACAAGACCAAAATTGCAGGTGTTGGCTTCAGAGTCAAGGGGCTCTAGGAAGGTCCCCTTGTTACCCCCAGCCCCTAGATGAATAGTGCCCAGGGAGGCTGGGAGTGTGCGCGCGCGCGTGCACACACACACACACACACAGACACAAATACACACTCACTCCCTCCTAGCAGTTAAAACAGAGGTACCAGCAAGTGATGAAGGCAGACAAAAAAGACACACTTGACAAAGCAAGGAGATGAGGCTGGCTTGGCCCAGAGCCAGGAGCCTGTTGTATTCTCTTGTGGTCTTTGTTTCCTGAAAGGCCTATCAATCAGTAACAGAGTCGTGCCAAACCCAGCTGCCTGGAGCTGAGTGGCCCCCGCCCTGAAGCAAATAATATTTCAGGTCTCCTGTCCATGGACCATCTGCTCCTGAAGCAGTGAGTCACGTCACTGGGGAGTGGCCTCAGCCCTCAGTCGCCCGCCCTGAGCAGGAGGTGATGGGCCCCGCGGGGTCTCAGCGACCCCCAGACCCTTCCTGAACCCTGCTCCCAGGGGACCTGCTGGAGACGCTGCGTCTCTTGAGACTCTGACCATTCCTTCATGTCTGTCTGCCTCACGGTCTGCAAACCGTATGAGGGTGGGGGCAGCATCTAATGGTTTACCCACCAATCCCCAGTGCTGCACCCATCAGAGGCCTGTAGTATGTGCTCAGTAAATGTTTGTTGACTGAGCTCGTAACTGGCTGACCAGAGGAATGAATGAGTGATCACCCGCAGCTGCACCTGCTGCTTCCCAGCTTCTCAGGGGGCAGGGAGAGCTCCTGGGCATTGCGGTCTGGTCAGCTGGCTGGTGGTGTGTCTGTCTGCACCCCTGGATCCTGAACCGGGAAGGGGCTACTAGGGGCCTGTCCTAGTGACAGCCAGCATTTTGTCCCTAATGAGACAGTTAAGGTCAAAGGCTCTGGAATCAACCTGCCTGGATTTGAGCCCTGGCCTGACCAATTGTGAATTATGGGATGGTGGCTATGTCCCCGCCCACCCCCAACCTCAGTTTCCCCCAGATGGAGAAACAACATCTGACTTGAGGAGTTTGGGCTCCAGACTGGTCCTCGATGACCAGCGGCTGCTTTGTTTATACTCTCGAAGATTCTCCCAATGTGGCCACCTGGTGCTCCTGCACTCTGCAAGCACCCCAGCCCTTGTACTTAATGCCTGACGGCCAGTGCATTCTTCTAGGACACTATTCAGGGCCAGGAGGCAGAGGCCCTGAGTCCATGCTCAGCCCGACACCCGTGAGCACGATTTGGGCCACAGCGTGGACGTGGCCTGACCCGTCCTGGGAGGCCCCACCACCTGGACCCTCTGCCAGCTTGGCTGGGCTCACCAGCTCCCCTGAGACCAGTGGAAGGTGGTCTATGGCTGCTGCGTGGGGACCAGGGAGGGTTTGTGGAAAAACTGTGTGTGCGTTGGGGGTGCGAGTACGTGTATGTGTACATGCCTGTGTGCCTGTATGTTAGAACTGGGGAGAAGCCAGACAGGCCAGGCGGTGGGGGGCCTTCGTGGACACAAGAGGCTGCACCCAGCATCTGGGGCCTGGGGAACAGGAGTCTCCGCCTTGCCGCCCACTCTCTGGACCATGACCCCTCAGCTGAGCATGAGGGCTGGGTCGGAGGTCACGATCATCATTCCCAGTAGTCCTTAGAGGACACGCATACAGCTAGGTAGGGG